CCTCTGTCACTCCCCCTACTGGGGATGTGCCTGCACCCAAGGTATATGCCCTAGGCCGGAATCGAACCCAGGACCTTTCAGTCCGCAGGCCGACGCTCTATCCACTGAGCCAAATCGGTTAGGGCCTTTATTGTTGTTTTGCAAGGAAGCATTTTTAAAGCAATTTGGTAAATTATATATTTCTCTCCCTATGTGTCCTTCTTGTAATTGGCAATTTTTAGTAAATAGCAATAAAGTTCTTTGCATGAATTCAATAAGACCTGTTTCCAATTTTAGCTATATAAACCAAGAAAAACTGATAATGGGCCTGCTTATAGCAGCCTTGGCTTCACTGCCTTTTGCAGACCTTTGTCCATCCAGCATTCCATGGGAATGCCTTACAATACACAAGGGCAGGTCACCATTGACTGTGCGCATGGTACCCTGAAGGGTATGCTAGTAAACAAAAAAAAGGGGGGGGAGGGGTAACGGGACTGAAGGACCTTGCTACACTACTATCTAAAGCAGTCTTTATCCTTAATTTTTTGAATCTGAATGATCATTGTCAATCCTCTGTAGAATGGCACTTGACCTCAATAACCTCATCTCAGAAATCACAAGTCTTCTGGCAAGATGTGGACACTAATCACTGGATAGGACCCAATGAATTATTAACATGGGGAAGAGGATATGCTTGTGTTTCTACCCCCATGGGGCTGTTGTAGATTCCAGCTCGCCAGATTAAACCCTGCCATGGCACAGCACAGGACCTATCCTCTTCCAGAAGTGAGTAATTTGGGCCTGGGGGCTCCATAGCCCTGACTGATGTGCCGTCCCCAGATCCAGATGGCCCGCAGAATAACCTAGGGAATGATGATGAAGCTGACGGCCACTGATTAGCAATTATTGGAGTGTACTCACACTCTACACATTCCAGATAACTAACCATTCCTCTTTTTGTTCTTCTCATAGCCTGTAAAATCAGAACTGGAACAGTAAATGCATTTCACAAACTCCGATATTCCAAAGAAGAAAGTTTGTCTGGCTCCAT